CATTCGTTACACACACACACACACACACACACACACACACACACACACACAATCCTGGTTTTTATAGATAGAGATATTCACCGATAAATATGCAATTACATATATATTTTGGCATTACGTTTTCACTGATAGTTCTATGATTTTTGGCATGCATTAATTTTCTATGAGTTTTCTGTGAAGTTGATTCTTTGTGTTGTATTGTTACCACACCTTCAGGCGCACTATACGTATGGAAAAATAATTTCTTTTTCGAAAGGGCAAAGCAGATAACGATATAAGAGACTTCTCTGGTCCCGACAACTCTCTTATATCCGGGTTACACTGTAGATGAAAAAGAAGTACTATTTTCTCTTTTCTGAAGCAATGCTGACCAGTAAAATTCTGTTGTCAAATGTCCAGTACATTTCTCATAAACTTTTAAAAAAATACCTCATCGGTTTGTCTTGATAGACATACATTCTTACTGGGTCTAGGGTTATATGTTTTGAAATCCAAATGCCAACGAATTTCGTATTTCGTGTCAAGTATTCAGAAAACCCATGTGGGAAATTAACAAAACTTTAGCTTCGCCAGTTCTTTGTAACATGCAATACAAAATCTCGGTAGCAGAAAAGAATTAAGAACAGAGAACATTAATCAGATCATCCGCCACTGAAAGGCACTTTTCGAAGTAATATGATTGATCTTTGCTTAGGTAAGGCCAAAACACCGCTGTCATCTAACTGGACATGACTAGAAGAAACTAATAAGTTGGTTCTGGTAAAGTATGTTATTATTAATTTAGAAGACAGATGCGTCTTTCTTGCTTATATATGGATGATTACGGCTCGCCCCAACATCCTATTTTTGTTATGCTTTCATATCATAAGCTAGGTTATCTCATATATTCATTAAAACTGGTTAAGGAGATTAATTGTTGCTTCCTTTGTTTCTCTTGGATTCATTATACTGTGTGAATATTAATTTCCCCATGACTTCCTTCCGCGTGATATACACCAGAAATGTAATCTGTCTCTTTTAGATTTTCCACATAATTCATTTTATCCTTAAAACTTCTATGTCGCTGTTTGTCAACGGCCAGCCCTCCGAACCCAAGCGATCAATAGATGCGTCAGCCAAGCCTCATATCTCTGTCCTAATATCGTCCTGGGGATGACGATAAACTACATTCGCGTCTTGGGTAAGACGATAAACAAGCAAGGTTTCTGATCAGGAGATTTTGAGGAGCGTGAAACCACCAATTAATTGCTGGTGTTCCCACGTTCAACCTGACCCAGGGTGGTTGCTGGTATTTTTGGGTAACCTGTAATTACTAGTGAGCTAACCAAAATGAGCTGACTCATTTTATAGTTCACCAGTAGAAGAGTTAACCAATCAGAAAGCTCAAAATATTCAATGCGACGTGTATAAAGGCAGCCATTTTGTTATTTTTTTTTTCCCAAAATATCTCCACTGCCAACCTCTGATATCGAAGACTTAAAGAATTAACAGCCGCTATTTTCTCCGAATCTTCACTGCCAATCTCCGATATTGAAGAGATTACGGATTTCACTGGATTCCATATTCAGAGACTACGGCAAACATGGTCAACAGTGGTACCACCTGTTAGGGTCCCAGCTATGGACAAATAGTTAACGCCCGAAATTGGGTCAAAACGATATGAAAGTGTAAAAATGGGTTTTTATACCAGCAATACATTTTTGTAAAAATATCACTAGCAATAAATTTTTGAAGAATAAAATTCTTACCAGCAATGTATTTTTGAAGAAAAAAATATTACCAGCAATACATTTTTGAAGAAATATTACATGCAATGCATTTTTGGAAAATGAATTAACAGCAATACCTGTTAAGGTTACAAATAGATGGTGAAACTTGGGTCAAAGCTCTATAAAAGTGTAAAGATATATATTAATAGCAGAAATACATCATTGTAAAAAAAAATTATTACTAACAATGAAGTTTGGAAGAAAAAAAATTATTACTAGCAATACATTATTACTAGTAATACATTTTTTTAAAAAAATATTACCAGCAATACATTTTTGGAGAAAAAATATTACCAGTAATAACTTTTTGAAGAAAAAATATTACTAACAATAAAAACAGTGTTGGCATTAAATGAACCATCGACGTTGATATACCATAAAACAAAAAAAAAAAAATCAAAACAAAAAATTACCAGCAATAAAAACCTTGTCGGCATTAAATAACCCATTCAGATTGATATGCCGTAAACCAAACCAAACTAAATCAATCTGTCCAATCAGTAAATTCCGATCATTTGATAAACTATATACGGATTTTACTACAGTATATGAGTGCACCATCAAAAACCTAGATGACCAGATCTCGGCAGTTGATTTCTCCTTTGACGGAACTTCAATAGCTTGTTAGACAAAATAACCATCTGGTCACATTCAATGCCTGGAAAATTCAAACTAATGATACATATCCTTAATAATCTAACATAATCTTAAAAATCTTGTCGGCATTAAATAAGCCACCGAGCAAGATGGGGTGGGGGCAAAGAACTCGACAAGCCAGGATGGATTAAATACGAATTTTTTTTAGAAATTCAAATACAAATACTTCTCGCGATTATTGACGCGATATAATTGGAAATACAAATATAAATACGAGTAATTTCCTTCCAGATTCTGAAAATACACAAACAAATAAAATACTTCGAAAACTAAGTAAAATATAAATACTTTTTTCAAACAAATACTAATTGTCTGAAAAAAAGTATTTAAATACAATTCAAATAGATTTTTATTTGATCTGCCACTACAAACAAGCCTTGTGAATTGACAAAACTAATTAAAAGACGTAAAGACATGACCAATTCATCTATTTCAATTAGCAAAGCCAAGGCAGACAGGTAGAGGACAAAAATTTGTCAATAACACCATCCATATTTATATGTCCAAATTCTTAATTTTCAATGCTTAATAAAGACAAATTACTTAGGCATTCCTGTGTGTGGGATATAAATTTGTTTTATTAAATTTAATTTGCTGAGAGATCGCGCAAAGGACGCCACAGGTAAAGCAATAACATACGTAATGCTATTTTTTTAAATTGGGGAACATATCATCGTCGTAAGATATTGTGAAATTGAAAAGCTCGATTGGTTTTTTTGGTTTAACGAAGCACTGTCTTTTCTTTTTTGTATTAACATTCGGCAGTCTGTAATTTCGCGACTGAGTTCTATTCCATCAATATTTACCTCGTATGCTGCAGTAGCTACTTTGCATTTTTCTCTCCCGACACTTCCTTGGAGTCAATATGGCGGCTTTCCATGTCCAAGAGGAAGCCAGATTGCTCATGTAACCTTATAAATTAGTTCTCAGTTCTGAATTCAACCTGTCCAGTACTGCCTTCGAGGTAACATCCATTTTTTTGTCACATTTAGAGGCTCATCTTCCATCTTCTCTATCCACGACACACACTTCTCTGTTGACGAACGTCAATACTCAATTCTAAACATTTTTCATCGCCTTTTGCAAGCGTATTTTCATAGCGAGAATTCCGTTTACTCATACTAGATTTTTGCAGACTTTGAATTTCAGCTCGAGCTTCAATGAAGTTAATTCTAGGGCACTGAAGTCTCTTCTGAATCCGGTCAGTGAAAATCAGGACGTCATCCCAGAACGGCAGCATAGTTCGAATGCTGTAGGTGTGCATGTTATGCAGCAAGCAGCTGGCGTCGCTTCCTTTGTCGACTGATACTGACGTGTCAGTTGCCATATCCTTCCAACAATTAAGCTTTGTCATACAACGTGAACAGCTTCGCGCCTAGCATTCCGTCTTGTATCAGGAGGTGGGTCCGCTTTACAGCCGCCCATGCTGTTTACTTTAATTTCTCCCTCCACATTGTTAAGGCGGAAAATAAATTGTACAAGGAATGAAGAATTCAAAAAATGATAGAGCAAAGTGTGTTCTGATGTTGTATTCCAATGAGGCTCAAAGAATTGTCATCACAATATATACATACATACATACCGGCTAAAACACAACTCACATTTACACACACACACACACACACACACACACACCAACCCTACACGGCATACAAAATGTGTGTGTGTGTGTAAATGTGTGTTTGTGTATACAATTTCTTGTACTAAAACAATAAATGGAGATACGTTTAAAAATACATAGAGATCATAAAATGATACGAACAAAGACCTCATTCCTCGCTCTTTCTCTGAACAATCCTGATTGTTTTATTACTCCTTAAGCAGAGAAATATTTTCTCCACAAGTCCAAGAAAATTTGGATTGCTACTACACACAAAAGACAATGGTTAAACATGAAAAAACATCAGGGGAATTTAATTCCTTTAAATATTATGTAGGAATAAATATTTTCGCCTGATGAAAGTCACAGGATCCGAAACCCATGTAGCAAAAATATGAAAAATAAAGTAAAATATATATTTTAAAAAATCCACATTATAGCCAAAAACGTTTGCAACTTCTCTTTTCTCATTAATATATATGTACACACGCACACACACACACACACACACATATATATATATATATATATATATATATATATATATATATATATATATATATATAATATTTAGCAATTCGTATGGAAAATTCCAAAGAGAATATAAATCCATAGGGTTCCATGTCAAAAACAGAGAAAATATTAATTAATTATGAAAACGAAGTTTCACAATCCCATGGTGATATTTATTTCATTAAAATCGTAAAATTCGATTCCAAATCTTCAGACCAAAGTCATTCACACAAATGAATGCATAAATATTTTATCAGATTCAAAAGCATATATAAACATAATTTATGCAAATTTAAAAAGTGGCAGAGGAGATGATGAAGATGTATGTATTCAGATAGCCATAATGTCATGAAAAAAGAATGCGGTATTAAAATTTTGTTTGAAAATGTATATATTTTACGTTTGTAGACATGTTGACCTAATTCTGGTAGTAGAGAAAGATGGTAAAAGAGGAAGGAGACAGAGAATACGAAAAAAAGAGAAAGAAAGAAGAAGAAAAAAAGAGAAAAAAGAGAAAGGACATAATAGAGACGGATAAATTTCTTGTATACAAGCCTATAATTTTCAGTTGGATTTACGTACACATTCAGTCCATGGCACTTTTGAAAACTTATTTTATAAAGGGATAAAAATTAAAATAATAATAATAATATTAGTAACATTATTATTATTTTATTTCCTTTGATTTCTGATGTATACACATTTCTTTCCGGGTCCTGCCCAGTGACCTATGGTTAGAAATGGCACCATGACATTTTCCACTGACCAATTAAATAAAAGAACAAATAAAAAATGTTTTACATAGACAAAGCGTTTCGTAAGTTGTGGGTGGTACTCGTGAGAACATTTTCTTTGTAATTCTTTAAGTTATGGGCTTCCAGGATTCACTTCGATGAGTCTACTTGAAACTTTTCCAATCAATACGAGGCTACAACAGGGATTGTTGATGTTCCCATGTGCCACATTTTTTAGATTTCGATTTCAAGGTCTTTTATTTTGATAGCTTTTTGAAGATCTTCAAAGAAAAATTGTCGTCTGCAGGGACAGCCATTGTTTGCAGTCTCTAATCATGATATCTGAACGGTTAGATTTCATTGTTCTGTCAGATTATATTGTGTATTCTCATAAAATTATGACAGGTCCTATATCCGTAACCGGGTCTGGGTGGTGTTCATACCAATTTCCTTCCCGTAGAAGTTGCAGATATTCCAGTGCAGATATTGGCCCACTCTGTCATGCCGGGTTTTATATTCAGTGGGTGCCAATACCGTGCAACCTGATACAAAATGATCAATTGTTTCTGGATATTTACCACAGAATCTGCATTTAGAGCTAATACAATATTTTAGCATGCGTGCTTCATAAGTTCTAGTTAACATGCACTGGTCCTGTGCAGCAAGGATAAAACCTTCATTTTCAGCTTTTAACCCTGCACTACGTAACAACTGATGGGTACGGTTTTTTTTCTACATCAGCTTGTTTGGTACAGGTAGAGTATTGGTCATGAAGCGGTTTATCTTGCCATATTTTCTGTATCTGGTCGGTTGCATTTGCTTTTGTCTTCTTTTGCAGCTTCAGTCGGTGTATTGTGCTTTACTTATTTACTTACGTATTTCTGTACCCATTTGAAACTCCATTTTGAACATGATATTATTATTATTATCATTATTATTATTATCTGAGTACATACCTCTTCATCCTCTCCTCTGCATCTTTTTAAATCTGCATAAATTATATGTATATCTTTATTTCAACCTGGTAAAATATTTATGTATTCATTCGTGTGTAATGGTTTTGATCTGAAGATTGGTATCAAAATTTTCGATTCTAATGAAATAAATATTACCCATTTTTGAATTTTCGAATTTTCGTTTATATATATATATATATATATATATATATATATATATATTCAGGAATTTTTGGTTGAATAGTCAGAAGATATTATATCTATTTATTTTCATTTTAATTGTCTGAAATTCATTCACGGATTATTAATGATGTTATTAAATTCATTAAACAAATTCACAAAGATTTCTTTCGGGTTTCTCAGTGATATGCATTTCTGAATACCGGACATCTTCCCAGCCATTGTTGCTGCATTGTCATAGTCTGCCCACGACAGTCGTTCAAATCAAGATCATGTCTTTCTAATTTTAAGGTAGTGTCGAACATAATCTTATAACATCTGCTTCTTTTATCTCTCCGTAGGATAGACCGACCTAATCGTTATCCCGTAGCTGCAACACAGGGTCGTATTTGTGAAGTAACTTAATGATTGCAAGAATATTATCGCGATTATTACATCATGCAATGACTTCTCGGTATCTACGTAATGCCAGACGTTGAATCGCCCAAAACTTGATACAATCAACCAAAAGCATGAGCAGATCCTTCCACAAATGCTTCTGTTCCTTGATATGCTTCAGTATTATTCTGTTAATCGTAGACCCCCTTTTGATATGTGTCTGTCAAAGTATTTCCATGCAAGTAATAACACATGGTGTTGTCTTCCTCTGATCATGCCCTTCTACTCTTAACGTAATTTACATCAGAATTTAAACAATCTACATCTTTCTTGCTTAAAAATGCATATTTATTTTCACAATATTATATATGTTCATCAGACTGGCAACATACCCTGCTGCTGTGTCTGTGTAGTCAGACATTTTGTTTATTGTGAGAAACTTCAAGAGCTGTGTCCCATAGTATCTGCTTCTTTTCACTCTCTGTCTGATAGACTGGCGTAATTCGTTGCTCAGTAGCTCGGTGAACTCATGTTGCAGAATTGACAGAATCCAAGTAACGCTCCACAGAGGGTCGTACTTGCACAGAAGCTTGATGAGGGCAAGAAAATTACAAGCATTATTACTTAATGCAATGACTTCCCGATGTCCACGAAATGCCAGAAGGAATGAGCAGATCCTTCCCCAATTGCTTCTGTTCCTTGATATAGATCAGTTAATCGTAGACCCTTTTGATGTGCGTCTCTCAACATCTTTTCATGCAAGAAATGGCGCACGTTCTGGTATTCCTTCGTTGCTTTTTTTTCCATTTTCGAAATCCATAAGATTTTTCGAACACCGTACTTTGGTTAACTGGGGCTGTTGAAAACAATAAAAATAAAAATAAAAAAAACAATACACTGCATCATTTTTAACAGAATACAACAACGAATAACGCGGAATCGCAGGCCCATCCTGAAGTTTTCTTTGAAACCAGTAATCAGTAAATTTGCTGTTGACACCTACATGTTTCACTTCTTATCGCTTCTCCGACACATCGGATCTCAATAACTTCATGATCTTTTGTAACTTTGAAAGAGACGTGTTTGCCTTAGTACCTAGATTCACTATGTGTACGCGTCGAACATCATAAAATTTTATTTCAATTTACAAACAAATTCAAGCAAAATATATCTTTTTTTGCTAATAACTCATATTTAATTTCCTCATATTGTTCATGTTCATAAAATTATTAACGAAACGAAGAAGAAATGTGTTTGAATGCATTCAATAAAACCGTTTGCGTTGCCTCAGAATCTATTCTAACAGATACATGCATATGTTGCAATAAAGCATTTCCCTATATTCTCAGCGGTAGTGAATGGTTTTTCCGTAATAAACTTCAAAGATCTTCATTGAGCTTCTCAGCGTAGTATAATCATATATTAATAATAATATTGCAGCGAAGGCTACAAACAACACCCTGCAAAGCTTTTGCCATCACTAACGAAAAAGAAAATTATGTCATAAAACTCGGGAATCTTTTCTCATCAAAAATTTTCTATATGGGAATATACGGTACTGAGTTACAATAAGATCATTATGCGCATTTTTTTTATATATTCATAGAAATGCTCTGATCTACCAATTGAAGCGAAGAGAAAAATTACCATTGTATCATTTTAAAAAGAAACGCTGCGTATAGCATCCCAGGAATACATATTAAAATATTAGTATGGATTTGTTTTCAATCTGTTCCTGAACCGAGTGAAAATAGAATTAAACAACATTTTTTTGTTGCTTCTTTAACACATTTCACGTTTTAGCCGGCATGCGCTATCGTCCGCAATGCGCATGCTCGAGAAACTACCGCGCTCCGTCGCCAAAATAATTCATAACGTGCCCTTAAGGAAATAAGTATCAGCAGGCAGTCAGAAAAAGGATATTATGGTAAATAAAACGGGGAAAAATTTGGGTCCTCTTTCACTACTTTTTAAATTAATTTCCCGACGCTTTCGCCGATAAATATGTTAAAACTTGGCCTACCCTAACCTAAATTAGTCTTAATTTTTCATCCAATCTAAATGTTTGGTTATACAGGCTCTAGTTAGTTTGATGAGTAGGACATTTTGCTTGCAATTCACTCCAGTCCTGGTAATACATTTGCCAATCACCGAGCTATTTTGCGATCCATGATGGTGAGCCTCGGGGCCGCTGACCTTCCGTGACCTCCGCACCCACCAGCCTATGTTACCATGTTGATATGTCACAAAATAAACCAAGCCAAACAGGGAAGCTTCTCGCGAAAAGATCAACGTTTGAAGAAAGTCCCCAGAACTACACACTCTTACACCGTTATTGACTGTCAACGTTCAACATATAATGAGCAATAATCTTACTCATGGAAGTATTACGTCTCGAATATTCTTATGGCTTAAAAATGATAAAAGAAAACGTACTTTTCGGTAGTCAAATATATTTGACAACACGACGTGGCTTACTTATACTGACATCAAGAAATGGTAAAAAAAATAATATCGGTTAATTAAAGCAGTTTATCACAGTTTCCGAAACCAACTCCAAGACTGGCTTTTCTTCTCAATCAAATAGGCTCCGTCGATAACGGATATATACTTGTCGGAAAAAATCGAACAGAATTGTAGATAGGAAATAGAAAATAAAAAAGATTTAACAATGCTTTTAATTTTTGCGAAGTTATCTTCGTGAAGTGCTTGATTTTTTGAGTGTTTCTACGGGTCAAGGTTTTATTGATCGAATGAGTTTTAAAAATTGTAAATTTCTTTCTTTGTCTTTGTTCATTAATTATTTCCAAATTGCACGATAAGAATTTTTTGGGGACTTAAACATCCCATAATAATGATAACGAAGACCTTCACCAGTCATTGTTGAGCAAATCAAATCGGAACTGGCCTTCCGAAAATTAAGTATAAAAATATCTAAACATAAAAATCTTTTTCCTTCCTTGATATTATTCCCAGTTGAAAAATGCTATATTTTTAAAATTATTATATCTTATTTTCAGTTGAAAACCTATTTAAAAATTTTCTTTGAATAACTGATACTTTAAAATTACGCAGTTTTATATACATTTTCTTTTTTTAAATTTCGATCGGATAAATTTATAATTTGGTATTTTTAAACGTAAAGAACGTTGCTCCGATATATCAGTGAAACTATTTAATGGCGGCAACATATAAAACTTGCTCTTTGCATCATTCCAAAGCTTTATTCTTGGCATCATTCCTACTGTTACTTTACATTTCTCCTTCAAAACATG